CTCTCTGGCCTCATCATCTTCTGTCCCTGGGCCTCTCACTCGCTGGCTCACTCGGCACCGCCACACTGGCCTCTCTGCGATTCCTCCAGCACCCCAGCTACCTTCCCACACTCCAGACATCTACACTTGCCCCCGCCAGGTTCCCTCTTCCCACTGATGTGCCCACGGGTCCCACACTTACCTCCTTTCTTCAGGGCTCTGCTCAAACATCGCTTTTGTACTGAAGCTTCCTGGGCCACTCTAGGTAACCACAGCTTCCACCTGTGGTCTACCAGCCCTCCCCCGCCGTCCTGTTCTGTCCTTTATTTTTTCCCCCAAAGCGCTGGCACGTACCACCTCCTGACGTGCTGTGTAATTATACACATACTGGTTATGTATATTTCTCTCCCCCCTCAGTGAGCCAGGGAGCTGGCTGTTCTATTTCCTCTGTGTCCCCAGCACTGAGCACGGGGTCCAGTCCACAGTGCGTGCTCAGAAAATATTGGTGGAGTGAATGAATGAAAACCATTCCGAGGTCACTATATCCCAGACCCCATAGCAGATGAATCCGGTGGCCAACTCTCCTTAAGTAGCTCACACTTTGAGGGCACACAGTAGGTCCCCAGGTGGAGAGGGAAGGAAGTCAGAGCCAGAAAGCCTGGACTCAAATCCTAGCTCCACCTCCTTCTCACTTCGTCATCTCAGGTAAGCAAGTCTTCCTTCCTGGCCTCAGTGTCCCCATCTGTGCAATGGGGATAAAAATAGCTCTCACTCTGCAGGGTTGCCCTTTGGCGTCAATAGGGTTGTTGTGTGGAAAACTGACAGCATGACTAATTCGAAAAGCTGTCCCCTTCCTGGAAGGGGTGAGGTGGGAGGGGCATGGCTGTGTGTGTTCCAGCAGTTAACAATGGAACGCTTGTGGCGTGGAAAATACATCCACCCCTGTGAGTTCCTGACAAAAGTCTCAGGTCTCAGAGGACAGGTCTTCCTGGGTATTTACATTCTTTTTTGTAAATGATGCAAATTTGCAGGATTATCGCAACAAGAAATACTGGTTTGGGAATGTGAACCCCCTGGGGTGGGTTCCCCTTTTATCCTTGTCCCTGCAATGAGCAGGAGTGAGGGTTGGGGGGACCTCTCCCACCTGCAGCTTAGGCAGCAGAGACTGGATCAGCTAAAAACAGGATGGTGGCAGGGGTTGGAGGGATGTGTGAAAAAGATGAAGGGATTAAGAGGTGCAGATGGGTAGTTACAAATTAGTCATCGACTGTAAAGTACAGCACAGGGAATGTAGGCAATAATATTGTAATAACTGTATCATGTCAGATGGCTGGTGTCAAGGGGATCACTTTGGAAGTTATGTAAATGTACTATGCTGCACACCTGAAACTAATATAATGTTGAATGTCAAGTGTAATTGAAAAAAAATTAAAGATATGTCCAAAGCTGGCTATCACCATCTAAGAATGAATTTCTGAGATATAAAAAAAAAATCAGAAGCCCAGCCAATGTGGTTTAGTGGATTGAGCGTCATCCTATGGACTGAGAGGTTTGGGTTCGATTCCCGGTCAGGGCACATGCCCGGTTGCAGGCTCGATCCCCAGTAGGGGGCGTGCAGGAGACAGCAGATTGAGCTTTCTCTCTCTCATGGATGTTTCTATCTCTCCCTTCCTCGCAATCTAAAAAAATCAATAAAAACAAATTTTTTTAAAAATCAGAAAAATGTATTAGCCATGTATTACTGTCAGAGTTTGATTATCCACGTTACAGAAGGCTCTTTCAGGAGGAGCACTTCAGTGAGGATAGTTTCTCCTCTGCCAGCTGCAGATGTGTTTCCACCGTCAGTATTCCTGTGGCGCTTCTAAGCCATGGCCCAGAAGCGTATCCACGGGTCGAGAGTGGGGGCCTGTCTCTGCCTCCTCTCCTTGGGTCTGGGCAGGTGTGTGACGGCTTCCGCCCACAGAGAAAAGCAGAAGTGAGGCTGGGTGCAAGAGACAGCATTCATTGGAACACTCACTCTGGATCCCTGAGCCGTGCATGCAAGAAGTCCAAATGTCCTGGGGCAGCCATGCTGGCGGAGCACCCAAGCTGCTTGGACAGACACGAAGCTGGAAGTCTCGGCTGAGCCCAACCTCTGAGCATTCCAGCCCAGACCCCAGAACTGTGAATAAGGAAGCTCACAGTCCAGTCCCTGTTCACTGAGTCCCTTTACTCTTTAGGTCTTCTAGCTGCGGACCGGGACATCACAGAGCAGAGACAAGCTGTCCCTGCTGCTCCCCATCTGACTTTCTGGACCACAGAACCCTTGAGCATCATAAATGGTGCTATCTTACACCACGGAGCTGGGGGTGGTTTGTTATACAGCAGTTCACTTCATCACTGCAGCATTTAAATAGTATGACTTCTCTGCAGAAACCAAAATCCATTCCCCACTGTGTGAACGCTCACAGTAGTTATTTCGGAATATAAAATGAATGCCCATCACACTCATTGTTAATCATGGTGCCATTTCACTTGCAGAATAACTGTTGCGAAAGACTAATTGTACATCTCTCCCGGAATCTGACTGAAGAATGCCCACTTATACGCCACAGACGAAGCTCGCCGTTCCCAGTTACACCCAGAAGGCTTTTCTACATTTGAACGTGAATATTCAGCTCCAAACATAATGAGGAGTGCAGACCTTGCTTGTGTTCCTGCAGAGGTTACATTCATTAGATGAGACGGGCCAAATAGTCTGGCTCAGGGACAGATGCACAGCAATGACACAGACAGAAGAGCTTTGATACTCAGTTGTTCTGAAGACCAAAATTCCAGCAGGACTTCAAAGCAGCCCTGTGCTTGTTATCCTTATTTCTCCAGTCTCTCTGAGACTCCTCGAGGGTGGGCGGCAAGGTTGGGGGAACAGGCGGAGAAACTGAAGCTCACCGACCCCTGGCACACAAAGGAAACCAGGGAATGGCCGCTAGTGAGTCACTGTCTCCCCACCCCAACCCCTCCGAGGCAGCAGTGATGCCAGCAGAACCCACAGGGGCCCCTTGGTTGACATTTTCCCAGTAGACTGCTTATTGACTTTTTTTTTTCATTATTGAATTTTAGAGAGAGAGAAAGGGAGGAGAGAGAGAGATAGAAACATTGATGACAGAGAACATTGACTGGCCGCCTCCTGCAGGCCCCCACTGGGATTTGGGCCCACAACCTGGGCATGTGTCCTGACCAGGAATTGAACCGGTGATTTCTTGGTGCATGGGTCGACGCTCAACCACTGAGGCACACCATCCGGGCTGCCTATTGACTTTTTTTTTTTTTTAATCCTCACCAGGGATATTTTTCCATTTTTTATTCAGATAGAGCAGGAGGGAAAGAGAGGAAGAGAGAGAGAGAGAAACATCGACGTGAAAGGGACACATCGAGTGGCTGCCACCCGCACGACCAACCAGGGCCGGGGACAAACTGCAACCAAGGTACGCGCCCTTAGCAGGAAGCGAACCCGGGTCTCTCCCGACCGCAGGCCAACGCTCTAACCGCCGAGCCAAACCGGCCAGGGCTGCCTATTGACTTTTAATGCCCAAACTTCAGAGGACGGATACCCCAGAATAGGGCCACATTCCCTCAGACCCCCAGGGCAGGGCCAGGCCCTCTTCTGTCCCCCCTAGAGCAGCACCTCTACTTAGACCAGCTCCCTCCTGGCCAGGGTGAGCTGTGTCCTCAGCCCCTTTAGGACAGATGGTGTCTGCTCAGAACCAGGGGCTGGGCCATATTCTCTGAGTCCCAGAACTTTATAAAACACACGTCTAGTACGGCTGACAGTTACATGGGAAAGGTGGGGCCACAGCCCGGTAACTCCGCAAATTTTAACCAAGCCACGTGAGTCCGTCTCCAATTACATCTCCGACAGGATGGGTAGTTCCGCGCAGGCGTTTGGACAACCCGCGGGGAGCTCTGCCAAGGACCGGGACTGGGGTGCTCCGGTGGACAAAGCAGGGGTGGGGCTCAGCCATACATACTAAAGTTGTCGTGCAGGGAGTGAAGCTTGGAGCATTGTCCAAGATAGTAAGTTATTCCGAAGGGCTTTCCTATGTCTATTGACGTTGTAGGAACTTGTTGGGGGCAAAACATTATCCTTTTTGTCGTTGAAAGTCATGGGGAACAGGCACTTGGTGAGCGTTGTCCTGCAGAGTATCTGGTTTTCAGCAACACGTGGGTCAGACAAGCAAAAAGGGCCTGGAGTTTTCAGTTTAGAGGCAGCCGCGCCCCCTGGTGGCCGTCGGGCCCCCACAACGGGCAGATGCTCTAAGAATAGAGTGGGTACCAGAAGCTGGGACCCAACCTCTAGGCGGGATGAAGGAAGAGGTGGGGTCTCAGGCTGTGCTCACAGGGCTGGTGCCCCTGTCTTCGTTCTATAGGGCCCTGTTTCCTGTGTTGGCCAAAGGTGGATGTCTTTTTTTCTTATTGGGCATCTACATTCATTTTTTCTGGAAGTAGCACCTCTTTTTTCCTTGGGGAACCCCCCACACTTCTGTACTTCTTGAGGGTCAACCCTTCCCCCATCTCACGTGACAGGTGTACAGTGATTTGATAAGGGATGAGCATATGACCCAAATCTGGTGAGAGCCAGGCTTGTTCTGCTATACCTGTTGAGAAAGAAGCATTCCCTTTTCACTGGGGCTACTAAGTGGTCCATGGTATCTAAGCCCGGAGTATGAATGTGTGTGGGGGAGACATCTGTGTCTCTGCTTGTAGGGGAGGCTGCTTAGAAGCGAAGCTGACCCAGAGAAAAGCAGATTTCTGAGGAAAAGAGGCACAGTTCTGATGAAAAATATTTGAGCAGCTGGATCCAGCAGTACCTGAAGCCAGTTCTTCAGGGCATTTCCAGTTAAGTGAACCAATTCTTTTCTTGTGAGCCAGTGGGAATTAGAGGATCATGGTCCCTGCCTCACTTGTTCCAGGCCCTAATTCCTTGTTTCCTTCCCTCCAAAATGTCCTCATTGCTTCTTACATTTGCAAACTCAGAGGCCACATTAATCAAAACCATCTTTATTATTTAAAGAGCAGCCTGCCATCAGGGATACCTAGATTAGGGTCCCCAGATGGCAGAACAATATTTACATGGGGGTCAGGAAGGTGGGGCTCAGGGGGTCCCAGGGCTGAGTGGGCCTGCCACTGTGGAAGACAGGACCCTGGAGGGAAGCTATCCTTGGACTTTTGGGCTGGGCCCAAGAAGGAGAATGTTCCATCCCAGGCCCAGAGTGAATCCCACTATGTGGGGCTGAGGCCACTTAGATCAACTCGGGCCCTGGAGGCGTTCGCAGCAAGGAGAAGCATCCGGTCAGAGCTGGGTCACCATGCCGCTGGCCTCGGAGTGAGTCTGGGGAAAGACAGTGGGGGCCTCTGAGGTCTGAGAGGCTTTCCTGAAAGTCCCACAACTAACCTCCTCTTCCCAGAAACCCTGTGAAATCCATCTGCTGCACCGGGAGCCTCCTCTAGGCCTGAGCAAAGGTCTCCAGAAAGCCCGCCTCCCTTCCCCCGGCCAGCCCAGACTTCCCGCCCTCTGGCTCCATCTGGGCCCCACTTTCACCTTTATGGCCTGGAAGATCCACTCCCGGAAGTCACTGACTTTGGTGTAGACGCCTGGCTTCTGGGCCAGGGCACAGCCAGTGCCCCAGCTCACGATGCCACACAGCCGCCAACGCGGGGTCCGAGAGATGCTGTCCTCACACACGAAGGGGCCGCCACTGTCGCCCTGGTGGGGGGAGGGGAGGCATGGTTCAAGGTGCTTCCGGATGGCCACGGACTGTGGTCACAGAGTCCTCTGGCCCTGAGACGGGGAGCCTGACCGCCCACTGCCCTGTGTCTCCATCTCTAGAATGGCAGGGTCAGGGGCTGCCCCCCACAATTCCTCACCTGGCAGGCATCGATGCCACCCTCAAGGTAGCCAGCACAGAACATCTTGGGCTTGATCTGGTTCCCGTAGAAGTCAGGGCCATTGCAGACATCATTGCTGATTATGGGGACTCGGGCCTCCTGGAGGACCCCAGCCTGCTGGCCTGGGGGTGTGTGGGCAAGGCTGGCGAGAGCTGGGGAGCATGCACACCCCTCTTCCCTCCTGGTGCCCACCCAGGCTCCTCAGTGTCCCTATGGCCCAGGGCCAAGAGGCACCCAACCTGCCAGACTGCCCTTCCCCGGCCCAGGTCAGTCTCCCTCACGGTGGCCTCCCAGGCAGAGGGTGGGACTCACCGTAGTACTGCGTGTTGCCCCAGCCAGTCACCGTGCACATCTTGCCATCCTCCAGGGCCTGGCCGGCAGCTGGGAGGCACACGGGCTGGATGTATTCTGTGAGAGAGACCACGCAGGTCCAGCCCCAGCCGGCACCGGCCTCTGCAGCTGGCCCTGGCACACACGTTCCTGTCCTGTTAGAACAGCTACAGCAGACGTGCTGTCTCCTGAGAGCTCGCTCTGTGCGAGGCCCCACCCCCTGCCAGTGCCTCTCATCTCCCACCCGCCCAGGGAGGTAGGGATGACCACTGCTGCATTTTACAGGGCGGGGGAGGCCAAGTCACTTGTCCGAAGTCTCCCACCGAGGCAACGGCAACTAGATTGGAACCCAGATTGCCCAGTTCGCAGGTCTGTGTTCTTAACCGTGGCCCCCGGGCTGCACCCCACACAGAGGGTGCCTCTGTGAGAAAGAGAAAAAGGCACCCCTGTCTTGAGATTCTTGACTTTCACCTGTCAGAAAATCGTGACAATCAATATACAGGGCTCGGCCGGCTACAGCGAGAACAGCGCCCCTGAGATGGGATGGCCCCGTAGTGCACAACCCACGGAGCAGTCCTGGCTGCCCTGCCTGCTGCCTGCTGCCCACTGCCCGCTGCCCACCACCTGCTGCCTGCTGCCCGCTGCCCGCTGCCCACCACCTGCTGCCTGCTGCCCGCTGCCCATTGCCCACTGTCCACTGCCTGCTGCCCACTACCTGCTGCCCACTGCCCACTGCCTGCTGCCCACTACCCATTGCCCGCTGTCCGCTGCCCACTGCCCGCTGCCCACTACCCGCTGCCCACTGCCCGCTGCCCGCTGCCCACTGCCTGCTGCCCACTGCCCGCTGCCCATTGCCTGCTGCCCACTGTCCACTGCCCATTGCCCATTGCCCGCTGTCCACTGCCTGCTGCCTGTTGCCCGCTGCCTACTATCCACTGCCCGCTGCCCACTGCCCACTGCCCATTGCCCGCTGTCCACTGCCTGCTGCCCGTTGCCCACTACCCACTGTCCACTGCCTGCTGCCCATTGCCCGCTGCCTACTATCCACTGCCCGCTGCCCACTGCCCACTGCCCATTGCCCGCTGCCTACTGTCCACTGCCTGCTGCCCACTGCCCATTGCCCGCTGTCCACTGCCTGCTGCCCATTGCCCACTGCCCGCTGTCCGCTGCCTGCTGCCCATTGCCCACTGCCCACTGTCCGCTGCCTGCTGCCCGTTGCCCACTGCCCGCTGTCCACTGCCCACTGCCTGCTGCCCATTGCCCACTGCCCGCTGTCCACTGCCCACTGCCTGCTGCCCACTGCCCGCTGTCCACTGCCCACTACCCACTGCTGACTTCACCTGCCTGAGCCTCAGAGCTCCTAGGTACAAAATGGAAATAATAGTCCCCCCCAGAGCTTGTAGCAAGAAGTTGGTGCAGTGTTGAGTAGCATGCCTAGCTAAAAGGAAATGCTCACATAACCAGTAACAGCAATAGAAACGACAATAGCGATGACAGCTAAAATTAACCGAGGGCTCACTATGTGTCAGCATTGCTCTAAGCTCTTTACTCATATTACCTTTAAAAAAAAAAAAAAAGTTTTTATTGCCCAGCCGGTGTGGCTCAGTGGTGGAGCGTCAACCCATGCACCAAGAGGTCATCAGTTCGATTCCTGGTCAGGGCACATGCCCAGGTTGTGGGCCAGACCCCCAGTGGGGGGCATGCAGGAGGCGGACAATCGATATTCTCTCTCGTCGATGTTTCTCTCTCTCTCTCTCCCTCTCCCCTCCTTTTTCTCTAAAAATCAATAAAGAAAAGAAAAAAATTTTTTTTAAGTTTTTAATGATTTTAAAGAGGGAGTCAGGGAGGAGGAGAGACACACACACACATCTATTGGCTGCCTCCTGCATGTCCCCTGAGCAACCTGGGCATGGGCCCTGACCAGGAATGGAACTGGTAACCTCCTGGAGCATGGGTTGATGCTCAACCCACTGAGCCACACCAGCCAGGGTTCATATTCACCTTTTTAATCATCTCAATAATTCTAGAAAGTTATTTTACAGAGGAGGGAAACAGAGGCAGGGAAAGATTAAAGCCACATGCCCCAGATCACACAGCTGACGAGAGTCTGCGTCTCACACCGAAGCTGTTGCCCCCGTGGCCGAGTGTCTCATACCAAGCTGCTCCCACCCCATTCCCCTGTGCCTCATGGACACTTCTTACTTCAGTGTTGTTAACCTCTTACTCTTCACTAAAGAGGAAACTTTATTTTGTTTTAAAGAAAATATAAATGTACCACTCCCTTACATGGAAAACCTGTTATCAAGAGTCATTAAGCCTGGCCCTGGCCGGTTTGGCTCAGCGGTTACCTGCGGTCCAGAGAGACCCGGGTTCAGTTCCCACTAAGGGCACGTACCTCGGTTGCAGTTTGTCCCCGGTCCTGGTTGGTCATGCGGGTGACAGCCACTCGATGTGTCCCTTTCACATCGATGTTTCTCTCTCTCTCTCTGTTTCTCTCCCTCCCACACTACCTGAACAAAAAATGAAAAAATGTCCTCGGGTGAGGATAAAAAAAAAAAAAAAAAAGTCATTAAGCCTGGCCAGTGTGGTTCAGTGGTTGAGCGTTGACTCACGCACCAAGAGATCACCGGTTTGATTCCTGGTCAGGGCACATGCCCAGGTTGTGAGCCAGATTCCCAGTGGGGGGCATGTAGGAGGCGGCCAACTGATGTTCTCTCTCACTGATGTTTCTCTCTCTCTTTTCCTCCACCCAAAAAAAAGAAAAGTCTATTTTTATTTAAAAGATTTTTTTTCTTTATTGATTTTAGAGAGAGAGAAAGGGAGAGGGAGAGACAGATAGAAACAGCGATGAGAGATAACATCAGTCGGCGGCCTCCTGCATACCCCCCACTGGGGATTTGGCCCACAACCTGGGCATGTGCCCTGACTGGAAATCAAACCAGCAACCTCTTGGCGCATGGGTCGACGCTCAAGCACTGAGCCACACCAGTTGGGCGAAAAATAAAGTCCATAAAAAAAAAAAAGTATCATTAAAACAATAATAACCATAAAACAAGTGTAATGCAAACCCCAGAATGGTCTGGCTTCCCCACAGCAGAGCTTGGGGCTGGAGGCCGATCCCAGCACTAGGAGGCCTGCCTCCAAGCTTTACCATTTGCCAGCTGTGGGAATTTGAGACGGCATTTACCTTCTCTCTGTTGGGACCTCTCCTCTGTGGAGAGCAGGATCACAAAAGGACCCACCCTCCCAGGCTGCGTGCAAACTAAATGCGCATGTGCGCCAGCCACGCCCACACAGAAGGCGCAGTGCAGGTGTGGCCTCATTACTCTCATGGCTACACTATCTTGTTGTCGCACTTCGTTAATATGGTCAGATGTTGCCTGCTGGAGGCTCGTCGTCATCTATATGACTTTGTTGGCATCCTCATCACCGTGGGGTTTTTTTGTTTTTGTATGTGCCCCTAGCAGGAACCGAACCCAGGACTCTCTGGTCTGCAGGCCGACGCTCAACCGCTGAGCCAAACTGGCCAGGGCATCACTGCGGTTTTTATCATTACTACACTATGGCTGGCGGAGAGTTGAAGGCCAGGGCCGGCCCTCCGCCCACCGGGCACGCCGGGAGACGCCTCAGCAACAGGCTGACACCCACGCGAGTCTTTCTCACTGAGAGCAAAGGAGTACTCTGGAGAGCTGCACAGGGAGTAACTCTTAACCGCCTGATCCATTCATCTATTGAAACGTTTTTTTTCATTTCATTTCATTATTCTTTTGGTAATAGTTTTTTTTAAATATAATGTATACACCATGCAACTCACCCAGGTAGGGTGTACAAATCGATGGTTTTTGTGGGCTCACAGATGTTGAGTAGCATGCTGGGCAATAGGAAGGAGCATCCACCACCACAATCAATTTTAGAACATTTTCATCACCCCCAAAGAAACCCTGTATCCTTACCTATCACCCCCTAATCTCCCCATCCCCACCCCCACCCCTGGCAACGACTAATCTTCTTTCTTTCTGTACAGATGTGCCTGTTCTGGACCGACCATATAAATGGAATCAGCTCGGCCGGCGTGGCTCAGTGGATTCAGGGTCGGCCCGTGGACTGAGAGGTCCCAGTTCGATTTCCGGTCAGGGCACATGCCCAGGTTTCAGGCTCAATCCCCAGTGGGGGGGCGTGCAGGAGGCGGCGATCGATGTTTCTCTCTCACATCGATATTTCTATCTCTTCCCCCCCTAAAGAATCAATCAATAAAAACATATTTTAAAAATAGATTAAATGTAATCATATAGCAGCCTTTTGAGTCCGACTTCTTTCTTAGCACTATGCTTTCAAGGGTCTTCCACTGCATATCACAGAAAGGTATTTTGTTCCTTTCTGTGGCCAAATACCATTCTGTTGTACGGACTGACCACGTTTCTATCCATTTGTCAGAGGAGAGACCTCTTGGGTGTTTCCACCTTTGCCTACTATGAACAGTGCTGCTGTGAATGTCTGTGCCCAGCTTTCTGTGTGGATACGTGTTTTCACTGCTTTGGGGTGTGTCTTCCCAGAGTGGCATTGCTGGGTCACATGGTAACTCCATATTTCCCTGTCTGAGGAGCCGCCAGACTTTTTTTTTTTACCCTCACCCGAGGACATTTTTGCATTTATCTTCAGAAAGAGCAGGAGGGAGGGAGACATTGATGTGAGAGAGACACATCGACTGACTGCCACACGCATGACCCCAACCAGGGCCGGGGATGAACTGCAACCGAGGTACATGCCCTTAGCAGGAACCGAACCCGGGACTCTCTGGTCCGCGTGCAGATGTTCTAACCACTGAACCAAACTGGCCAGGGCAGAACTGCCAGACTTTTAAAAAGCGGTCGCACGAATCATTCCTCCTTGACGGACGCCCGCTTGTGTCCCTCGAGAACATTTCCCTGATCACCACGGACTCCTCAGGCCCTGGTCCCTCCTCTGACCTCCCAGCCTTGGGAGTCCCCAGGCCGAGACTCAGCCCCCAGACTTACCTGTGAGGGGCAGGGGGCTGGAGAGGTGGACCAGAGCGATATCATTACTGTTCTCCTCACTGTTGGGATCTCGAAAGGGGAGATAGCCCCCGTGGTAGACTACTGCCTGAACCCCCAGCTGCAGGCCATGGGGTGAGGTCTGGGCCACAGCACCGGCAAACACACGCCATCGCGACAGGACCCGGTTCCGCCTACCAGGGCACAGGAGGGGAGGGTGGCAGCCAGCCTGGGCACAGCCTCCCCACCTCGCCGCCCCCGGCTACCCTCCTGAGCGCTGTGCGGGTCACTTACTCAGGGAAGCAGTGGGCAGCTGTCAGCACCCAGTCTCCCGAGAGCAGGGACCCCCCGCAGAGGTGCGCTCCGTCATAGCGAAGACTGACTTGCCACGGCCACTTGCCCAGGCTGGTGTCCCGGCCTCCCACAATGCGGTCCACGGGCAGCTTCCTCCGGCCACAGTCTGTGAGAGAGCGACAGTCAGGGGGAGCGGGGTGGCGGGCCCGGAAGCCCTAGGGGCCAGCGCTGTTCTAGGGGGTCTGAGAGAACACAGCCCCTCTGGGGAAATAAGGGGGCTCCACCCTGAGGGAGCCTGAGAGGACACAGCCCCATCTGTGGGCACCTATGGGGACATGGCCCTGCTTGGGGGGTTGAGAGGATATACGCCCATCCTTGGGGGACCGAGGGGGACACGGACCTACCCTGGCCTGAGGAAAGGGTTCTGAGTTTCAGGATCTCACCTTGGCAGATGGCAGCCAGGAAGCGGCCCCTGGGACAGTCACTGTGAGAGACACAGGATGGAGATAGAAACAAAAAGAGAGGCCGATTCAGACCGATGGAAGGAAAACGCGGAAGAGCGAGTTGGGGCACCTGGAGACTGCGGGCCCGGGGTGTGTGCCCCCCGCCCACTGCCCTCCTCACCACACGGAGATGACCTCGAGCAGCCTCCGGGCGTGGGGCAGCCTTCCCTCGTCCACGCAGAAGAAGCCCGACGTGCCGTTGGCGCCCGCTGTCCGCACATCCAGCTCCGAGTGGGCCAGTGCCCTGGGCGGGGCAGGGGTCAGGCCTGCGCCTCCCGCCCTCCCACTGCCACCCCTCCAAGGTGCACCCCAGTACCTGAGGAAGCCCATCTCCTCGCAGCTGAGTCCCGCCACTCTGGCATTGGAGCGCGAGGAGCACAGCAGTCGCCATGTCCCCTCCGTCTCGTCAAACACCGTGAGCCGAGTGTCTGCTGGGCTGACCTGCACTGCAGGGAGACAGGATGCGCCACACGGGTCACCTTCCTGCCCCGGCCCCTCCAGGCTGTGGTCCGGCCGTGGGGTTCGAGTCCTGAGTCCTGGCAGGGCTGATCAGAGCACCCCATGCTCCCCATACTCATGATTGTGTCCAGAGGGCACGTGACTCGTTAGACCGAGCAGCAGCAGCCCTGGGACTTTGGCTGGCCCTGCTGGGACCGGGGGATTCCTGCCCACAGGAACGCCTACGCTGGTTGCTCGTGTGTTCACGTCTGGACCTCTGCCGGGACGAGAGAGTGGTGTGTGAGGCCGGATCCCTCAGGACACCTTGGACAACATGAGGGGAAAGAAGCCAGCATGGAAGAAAGCCAAGGGACTTCTGGTAACAGTTTTAAAGCCCCTTGCTGGAGCCAGGTTTGAAGAACCCCCAGAATTAATGGTTAAATGAGGTAATCCTTTCCTTCTTCATTTAGCCAGTTCATTTATTTTTCCTTTTGTCCTTTGTCATCTGAGGACCCTTGACTAATACATCAGATCGCCAAAATATTCCCATAGATATCCTATCGTCTTAAATAAAAAAATTGTTTTAAAAAGGGAAAGGGTAGCTGTCTTTTCTGCAGGACTTGTCAGAGCCTTGAATGTATTAAAGTGAATGATAATTTTCCAAGCAGAGGACGCAGTATGCATTCCTTCCTTCCTTCCTTCAACAAACGTTCACTAAGCGTTAACTAGACACATACTTCATGCATGCCCAGTCCTGTGAGGGGTGATGCTGGGTACCCAAAGATGACTAAGACAGCTCTCACCATGCTAAAGTCTGGGGTGAGGGAAATAGACAACAATAAAAGAGCCACCCAACCAAGCACATCTTCACAGACTGAGAAGGGGCGAGGTGAAGACAGACAGGCAGGCTGGCTAGAGCTTATAAGGCATTCCTCCTGTCTGGAACTGGTGGTGTTGAAAACCGATGTCCCCTCCGCCCCTACAGGCTGCTCCCCACGCATGGCCAGAGGCCCCTGTTCACACCTGCGCCAGGTCACAGCCCTCAGCCGTGTTTATCTACATTCACCACCCAGTACACGCCCGCTCTGGTTTAGGCAGTGAACGGATCGGACAAAACCCCTGCTCCGTGGCCTTCAAAGGCCAACAGGTGAGATGAAGAACGAAAGGTACAAATACAGAAAACACATCGTGTGTCGCAAAATAAGAGGCCAGGGAGACAAGTGAAGCTGGACAGAGTCAGGGTGCTGGTGTGCGCGGTGAGGTGGAGGCGAGGGTGCGGTTTTCAGCAGCTGGGAAGGAACTTCCCTGAGAAGCGAACCAAGACCTGCACTGCCGAGATCCCAGGGCTGGGGGGCGGGGTGAGGAGCAGCGGCAGCTGGAGCAGAGCGAGGGGAACAGGCGGCAGGAGACTTTGCTTTTACCAGGAGCGAGGTGCTACAGGGAGGCTCTGAGCCCAGGGGGCCCTGACCTGACTCTGGGGTTCACTGGCTTCCTCTGGCTGCATGTGGGGAACCGACTGGGGGGGCGGGAGCAGGGGACCAGCGAAGACGCCTCTGTGGCGTCCAGGAGGGAGAGGATGGAGGCTGCAGGGTGCGCAGTGGGGCGGGAGGAGAGTGTAGATTCTGGGCAGATTTTGCGGGTGGAGCCCGCAGGGTCTGGGGACAGATTGGATGAGGGAAAGAGAGGGGTCAAGGACAATGCCAAGGTGTTTGGCTTGATCCACGCAAAGAACAGAGCTGCCATTCACAGGGATGGGAAGGTGGTAAGGTAGGTTTGGGGAACATCAGGGGGCCTCCTCTCCTTGTCTCCTGGGCCTCCTGCATGGCTGTTCTCAGAGCACCTTCGGGGAAACTGAGTCCGCTGTCGTCACTTTCGCATGCTCGCAGGAAAGGCCCGGTTAGGCCACACCCAAGCCGAGCAGTCTTCCCCAACCCCACAGGTCTAGACAAGGCCTTCCAGGGACAAGCCTGCCCTGCTGAGGACCCACTGCGCGCCAGCGTACGTGACAGGCTCTCCCTTACCATCCCTCCGAGGCCAGAGATCATCCCCATTTTCCAGATGGGGAAGCTGAGGCTTGGAGAGACGGGCTGGCCCCAAGCCGTGTGTCAGATCTGGGGGTTCTTCGAAGCCCATACCATCCTGGGAGGTAGAGACCATTTCTATGCCCATCTTACAGATGAAGAAACTGAGCCTCGGAAAGGATGTCTTTGTCCAGGGGCCTCAAAACTGGCAGAGCCAGGATCTGAAACCAGGCCTCCTGACCTGCCTACTCCCTGACCCTTCTGTGGGTCTCACAGAGACACCTGTCCCCACCCCAAGGACACTCACCCACAGCCCGGACTAAGAGCTTCCTGGTCGGTAAGAAAAGATAAAATATTGCCACTTTGGACAATACGGATGGATCTTGAAAAGATCATGCTGACTGAAATAAGTCAGATGGAAGAAGTCAAGAACCATATGATTTTACTCAGACGTGGGATATAAAACTAAAAGCAGGAGACTTCCGGTCAGGATGGCGGCGTAGGGAAACACGGCATCACGTCCTCCCACAACCACATCAAAGTTACAGCTAAACTATAGAACAACCATCATTCAAAACCACCTGAAATCAAGCTGAATGGAAGTCCTACAACTACGGAATTAAAGCAGCAGCCACATCCAGACTGGTAGGAGGGGCGGAGGGGGAGAGGCTGGTCCCACACCCACGTGTGGCGGATAAAAATCAGGAGGACACCTCGGCTGGGAAGGTCCTCCCTGAGGACTAAGGGGTCCCCGTCCCACACCAGGTGCCCCGCTCAGGGTTCCAGTGCCAGGAAGAGAGTCCCCATAACTTCTGGCTGGAAAAACCAGCGGGAACTGAGGCTCAGGGAAGCTGAAGCGGCTGGAGCCCCAGGCAGCTCCTTAAAGGGCCCGCGCACGGACTTATCGGACTCTCTCCCTCTAAGCTTGGAGGGGAGGCAGCTCGAGGGGCACCAGAGACATACAGGGAAGAACTGAGCTGATTGGCATTGGGGCAAGGACTGGATAGGGGGCTTCCTCTGGGACAGACGTGCGTCAGAGGCCTTTGTTCCTTTGGTGAGCCCTTCCCTGGGGCGGCAGACAGCCGCCATATCTGGGACTCCCGCCACCTGGCTCACACTGGTTGCCCCGCCCTGCTGACTCCCTGAGGCCCCGCTCCACCAGCTTTCAAGCCCACCCAAGCTGTTGCCACTTGCTTAACCATAGGATTGGCCTGTCTTGGATCCTGCTTCAGGTTTTTCCTAAATTCTTTCAAATAAGCAGCATCTGGTCTTAGCTAGCCCCATACCTCCCATTAAATAATACATAGAAATAAACACAGGGAGGCAGCCAAAATGAGAAGACAAAGAAATAGGTCCCAAATGAAAGAACAGAACAAAACCCCAGGAAAAGAACTAAGTAAAGTGGAGATAAGCAACCTAATAGATGCTGAGTTCAAAATACTGCTCATAAGGATGAACTTAGTGAGAACCTTAGTGAACTTAGTGAGGGCCTAAAGAGCATAAAAAAGGACCAATCAGAAATGAAGGAGGCACTAACTGAAATAAAGAATAATTTACACAGATTCAATAGTAGAGTAGGTAAAGCCAAGAAGCAAACCATCGATTTGGAAAATAAGGAAGCAAAAAACACCCAATCAGAACAGCAAAAAAAAAAAAAAAAAGAATCCAAAAAAATGAGGATAGTGTAAGAAGCCTCTGGGACAACTTCAAGCGTGCCAACATTCGCATCTTGGGGGTGCCAGAAGGAGAAGAGAGAGAACAAGAAATCGAAAACCTATTTGAAACAATAATGGCAGAAAACTTCCCTAACTCGGTGAAGGAAACAGACATACATGTCCAGAAAGCACAGAGAGTCCCAAACAAGATGAACCCCAAGAGGCCCACACCAAGACACATCATCATCAAAATGCAAAAGGTTCAAGACAAAGAGAGAATCTTTTATTATTATTATTATTATTATTATTATTATTTAGGACATTTTTCCATTTTTTTGTGCAGATAGAGTGGGAGGGGGAGAGAGGAAGAGAGAGAGAGAGAGAGAGAGGGAAACACCGACATGAAAGGGACACATCGAGTGGCTGCCACCCGCACAACCCAACTAGGACCGGGGACAAACTGCAACCAAGGTACATGCCTTTAGCAGGAACTGAACCCAGGTCTCTCGGGACCACAGGCCGACGCTCAAACTGCTGAACCAAACCGGCCAGGGCCAAAGAGAGAATCTTAAAAGCCGCAAGAGAAAAGCAGTTAGTTACCTACAAGGGAGTTCCCATTAGACTGTCAGCTGATTTCTCAAAAGAAACTTTGCAGGCCAGAAGGGAGTGGCAAGAAATATTCAGAGTGATGAAAAGCAAGAACCTACAACCAAGATTACTTTATCCTGCAAAGCTGTCATTTAGAATCGATGGCCATATAAAGAGTTTCCCAGCCAAGGAAAAGCTAAAGGAGTTCATCACCACCAAACCATTATTATATGAAATGTTGAAGGGTCTTCTTGAAGAAAAAGATAAAAAATATGAACAAACAAAATGGCAATGAATACATAGCTATCAACAGGTGAATCTACAAACAAAATGAACAAGCAGAACAGAAACATTCTCATAGATACAGAGAATATTTTGTTGGTTGCCAGATGGGAGGGGGGTGGGGGAATGGGTGAAAAAGGTGAAGGAATTAAGAAGTACAAATGGGTTTCTAGACTGACAAACCTCAAAGGGAAGGGGTGTTGGGGGTGGGAAGAAATAAACCAAAGAACTTATATGCATAACCAATGTACACAGACAACGGGGGGGCAGAAGTGGGGAGGAGGCGGTCAATGGGGGAACAATGAGGAACATCTGTAATACATTCAACAATAAAGATTTAAAAAATTATTATTTTTTAAAATAAAACTAAAAGCAATGAATGAACAAGATAAACAAACAAACAAAAACTCGTAGACATAGACAACAGTATGGTGGTTACCAGAAGAAGGGGGCGAGGGGTAATAAAGGGTGAAGGGAGTCAAACCCATGGTGATGGAGGATTTGATTTTGAGTGGTGAACATACAATGCAACATACAGATGATGTATTATAGAAATGTACACTTGAAGTCTATATAATTTTATTAACCAATGGCACCCATATACATTAAATTTATTTAAATTTTTTTAAATTTAAAAAGGGCTTCCTAGCTGGCTGGCTTTAATCATGGACCCTGCACCTCTGTTGGGTGGTACCCACAACCCTCTGAGTTCTAAGACCAAGACTTGGATTTGAAATACCAACTGGGGTGGGATGAATTCTTATTTCGAAATAAGTACTCCAGAAATGTGATTTCCAGAAAGTATGAGGTTTTAGAAAAACATTATCACTTTAGGAATGTGTTTTGGAGAAGTTGGAGGGGGTAGAGAATATAAAATGCCTCCTCTATTTTTTTTTTTTTAACCATTTATCTTCAGATAGAGTAGGAGGGTAAGAAGGAGGGAGAGAGAGAGAGAGACAGAGAGAAACATCAATGTGAAAGAGACACATCAACCGGTTGCCTCCTGCACAACCCCAACCAGGGCTGGAAATGTGCTCTTGACTGGAATCAAACCCGCGTCTCATTGGTCCAAGGGCTGACGCTCTAACCGCTGAGCCAACCGGCCAGGGCCCCCTCTAACTATTTTTAAAGCCACATTCTGCGCCACTGTTTCTCACTTTTAAACTGTTTATTCTCATTTGTATTATTTTAAGCCACGTAGTGTGTTCTGGGTCACCTGGTTGCTTACCAAATTGTCTGATATATTTGGAAGTGTGACAACGCCAGAAAAATGAGGTGGGGATGTAGTTTTGTTTTTTTGTGGGGTTTTTTTTTTTTTTTTTTTTTTTTTGGTACATTCTCAATACTTTTGGAAAACCCCAAGTATAGTTGAAGGGCAAGGGCGCTGGCCAGAGCTGGGTCAGAACTGTGGCCCAGTTACCTCCCGTCCCACGGGAGCCTAGGACAAGTCAGTGCATCTTGGCGACTCGTCTTTATACTTTTTTTTTTTTTGGGGGGTACATGCCCCTAGCAGGAACCAAAGCCGGGTCTCTCTGGTCCGCAGGCCGACACTCCAACCGCTGAGCCAAACCGGCCAGGGCCGTCTTTGTACTTATTCATTAAGCCAAGATTTCCTGAGCGCCTACCATATTCAGGACAGTAAAAGAAAAGCCCCTGCCTCCTAAAATTCACCAGGAGGAAATAATCCACTGCAAGTGTGAGGAGCGTTTTGCCCGGGGCAGCGGGATGGCCACGGCCTGGGGGCAGCATGCGGCCCGGGGGTGCCGGAAGGCCTTGCTCAGGACAGTTGAAGCCCGAAGGGTGAGACACAGAAGCCCACATTCACCGGGTTGGCTGAGAGCCAAGCTCTGCCCGGAGCATCATGTCCTTCCGTTCTCACCCTCGCTCCAGAGAGGACATCGACTCAGAGAGGAAGGGCTGGTGGAAGGCGCCCCCTTGTTTGGCAGTGACACTGCAGAACCCCGAAGGCTGCCCCTAGGTGTGAGCTGGAAGGAGGTGGGTGAGTGAAGGCTGTGGTACCAGGGCCAAGTGTGAAGTGAGGGCAGAAAGGGCCCTCGCCCCGGGAGCCGGGAGCCTGGGATTCTAGCCCGTGGAGGTGGGGAGCCATGGAGGGTCTTCCAGCAAGGGCATGACCGCTCTGCCCCGCCACCTATGCAGCATGTGGTCATGAACCAGCCAGTTCACTTCAGTGGGCCTCCGTTTCCCCCATCTGCAAATCAGGGGTGATGACGAGAGCCCCAACTTCACCAGGCTATGGTGCAAAGACCACAGCCCGGGCCTGGCACAGGCGAGCCCCCACTACGGCAAGTCACCGGCTGTTCTGAGAAGCCACAGCACAGGCGCATCCGCACAAGAGCTGAATGCAGCTGCCTGGGTTCAGACCCCGGAGCCTACTAGCTCTGTGGCCTACAGCAAGTCACTTGGTCTCTCTGTGCCTCTGTTTCCCATGTTAAAATGGGCTGTTGTGAGGATTTCATGAATTAAGACCTAGAAAGCCCAAGGCCCGTGCCCAGCACTTGTAAACAGTCCCCAAGCGCTGGCTATGGACTAACACTGACGTTGGCTTCCCATGTGAGCTGAGTCCTTTATGGAACTAGATGAGGCTCATGGGAGTGAAAAATACATCCCATCGCCCAACTTCCCCCTCCTTCCTGCTGTCCTGGACCGTGAAATGGCAGCTCGGAGTTGGCATTTGGGGCCATTCATTCCACAGTGAGCTCCTGCGTCTACTTGCCAGTGTGGTCATTCTCTCCCGCCTGCCTCAGACACAGCCCCACCAGGCACGTCTAAGAGCTATTCCTGGTCCCGTCGCTGACCCGCTGCAGGTTCTCTCTGGTCCTCACGTCCCACATCTGTGAATGGGGATAACGGAAGCTACCTCCTAGGGGAGCAAGAAGGGTTCACTGGTTTCATAGGGGGCCTCTCACACATGTTCTGACTATGCCCTGCAGGAAGAAATAGTTTTCCATTATGATGCGGCCCTGAACTTATGTTTTCTGGGGCAAACCATCCCCTGGCTCTGAGCCTCAGTTTCCCCATCTTTAAAAGCACATTTAATTTTATGTTTTAATTTTTATTGATTTTTTTTTTTTAGAGAGAGAGAGAGAAACATTGATGTGAGAGAGATACATCGATTGGCTGCCTCTTGCACGCCCCCTACTGGGCATCGAGCCTGTAACCTGGGCATGTGCCCTGACCAGGAATCGAACCGGGACCTCTCAGTCCATGGCCAGGCAGTTTTCCCATCTTTAAAACGGAGAGAATAATAGTCCCACCCTCACAAAACCAAAATATAAGATTAACAAGTTTTACTGACTGAGAGAGGCACTTGAATATTTCCTAGTCTAATCTATTTCATACTTTTAAAAACGTGACATTCAACTCACTAATTTAATTTCGTGATGCATTAATGAAAAACACTGGGTTAGACAAGTGAATTGCTCCCAACGGCACCGGGCCCACAGCAAGCCGGCGGCACGGGCGCCCTAGTCTTTCTTTGTGCACCGCACGTCCCTTCAAAACCCCTTCACTGAGCCCCCACAGGTACAGGTTTCCTCTAGGGCTCCCCAGCCTGCTTTACTCACCTGGATACAGTGGCTTCTGGTCACTCCTGAGGAGAACGGTCACTGCAGAGAAGGCAGAGGTGAGGCCAGGCAGGCCGGGGCCGCAGGGGCGGGGAGGGGAGAGGTGCAGGGAGCCGCTCTCACCAATGGCCCAGGACGCTGCCCCGATGCCAGTCAGGAGCAGCAGGGTCGCCGCAGTGAGAGCTGCTACCTTGGGTCCAGAGCAATATGGCACAGTCGGACCACCTGCAACAGACAGCATGCTGGGGCGGCTGCCGGCCTGTCCGCCCCAGGGCGAGGTCTGGGCACAGGGCCAGCTGTGTCCCCGGGGCTAACATAGCAGGTCTGAGCCTATCCGGCCCAACTGGCAGGGTTGTCTGTGCCCTGCAGCGAGGACAACCAGGTGTTCAGCTCCCCAAAGGTTCCAGCTGGGAAGGGGCATGGCTGGGACAGCTGCCACCCTCCGGGCTTAACCTCCCGGGCACTTGTGGGATTTCTCCTCCCTGTGACGCCTGCTTTTGTAGCTCCTGCATCATGTCTTCCTGGACCTCCCACTTCTGTTCACTTTCCCAGAGGTTCTTGGAGCCTCTTAGGGGCTGTGACCCCTGAACTTTGCCCTCTTGGTAGCTCTCCTCTCTGCTGTTGGCATTCCTCACTGCCTCCTTGCTGTCTGCTGTTCCAGACCCCCTGTCCCTGGGGACCCCCCGAAACCAGACTTTCCCCACAGGACCTAGCTCTAAGGTCAAGTTTGCCCCTGGAGGTTAAGAACCTAAGTTTGGCAACGTGCCAGCCTCACTTAAAATTACTGGCCTTTGAGCCTCAGTTTTCTCATCTAAGTAATGGGCATCCACCTAGCACTCACCTCAAAAAATACTTTTGTTTTTGTTTTAATCCTCACCCAAGGATATTTCTCCATTTATCTTCAGATAGAGTGGGAGGGAGAGAGAGAGAGAGGGAGGGAGAGAGAGAGAAACACATTGATGTGAGAGAGACCATTCGGCTGGCTGCCTCCCACATGACCCTGACCAGGGCTGGGAACCAAACCGCAACTGAGGTATGTGCCCTTGACCGGAATCCAATCTGCGGCTCTTTGGTCTGAGGGCTGACGCTCTAACTGCTGAGCCAAACTGGCCAGGGTGAAAAATAATACCTTTAAATAATAAAGTTACTTTAAATAATAATAGCCGAACTCGTACCAGATGCTTACTGTGTGCTAAGCACTACTCTAAACGCATTAACTTATTCAGTCGTTATCTCAGTTACAATTCCCATTTTTCATACAGGGAAACTGAGGCTCGGAGGAGTCACAAGCCTGGAGTGACTCAGCCAGGAAAAGGCAGTTCTGGGTCCTGAACCCTGGGCAGATTTGGAGCTAGGGCCCAAATGTACAACTACTACGCCATGCTACCTCCCCTGCGCTGTAGGCCCTAACCACTAAGCCATGCTACCTCCCCTGTGCTGTAGGCCCTAACCACTAAGCCATGCTACCTCTCCTGCACTGTAGCCCCCAGCATATGGCCAGTTCTCAATAAATGCCTTTAAATCATTAAAGCAGTGTGGCCTGGGCCACTCCCTTCCCCTCTTGGGCCTCAGTCTTCTCATTGGTAAGATGGAGCCTTATTCATTCATCGTCTGTTGAACATCTCCCGTGTACCTGGCACCATTCTAGGCTCTGGGGACACATCCCAAACAGGATGGACGAGACGCCGGCTCTCACGGGGCTCACATTCTCATGCGTGCAAGGTGAGGGGGAGAAGTAAACAAGGAGACAAGTAGATGAACTTGATCATTTCCAGGCTGTAGCAAAGACTATGAAGAAAGTACGTCGGGGCAGCGGGTGGCTTCTGTGGGGTGCTCAGGGAGGGCCTCTCGAATAAGTGACTTTTGAGCTGAGACCTGAAGGGTGAGGCCAGTTAGGCAAAGACCTCAAGGAACAGCACAGTGGGCAGAGGGAACGGCACGGGCAAAGGCCTGGAGGCAAGAAGAAGCTTGATCTGTTGGAGGGCAAGAGAGGCCATCGATAAGGCTGAATGCATGCACTTGGGAAGGCCATGGGATCAGGCTGGGCCAGCCTGGGAGGCCTGGTGATCTGAGGAGAAGATGCATTTTATTCCCAGTGCAACAGGGTCCCTGGGGATTAAAAGCCAAGCCCTTTGCTAGGGATTTCGGGAGGAAGGAAGGAAAAAGGACCTGGCATGTGCCTCACTGCCCCTGGCATCTGCGAGGCACCAGGGCTCAGAGACCCGTTCTCTCATCCGCACCGTGGTAGTACGGCCGACGGGCACAGGGCCAGCCAGCACCCGGAACTGAGCGGGGAGTGGCTCAGGACCTCCCCGGGATGGCCATTGTGTGGGTGTCTTAAGAATCTGAGAGCCCAGCAGTTCCCGTCCAGGCATGAGAGTCCCCAAAGAGGCCCCAGGGGCCAGGCCAGCCCAGCCCCAGCTGGCAGACCTCCACATCTCAAGGGGGCCTTTCAGACCCGGTTCCCAGCTCTGTGCCCGAGCATTTTCCGGGTTCCAGAGGAAGGTCCTGGTTCCCTGTAGCCCTCAGGCTGGTCCTGGCTCCTTTGCAGCTGCGCTCGGGTATGTCCGCTAGGGCAGGAGGCACTGCCGCCCCACGACTCTCAGGGTGAGAGGAGACTCCTCCCACGCCCTGTGGTTCAGGGGACTTTGAGCAACCCCCAAACAGGTGCCTCTGGTGGGTCAGGAAGCGTCCTCGCTCTGTGAGAGAACCACTTTGCGGGATTCTATGGGAGCGATAGGGCCTCCGCGATCAGCAAGCCAGCTCCCCGCCGTCTCCCCACTTCTCCCTGCCGTCTCCCCACTTCTCCCCACTGTCTCCCCACTTCTCCCCATGGCTCTGCTCTCTGCCCCCCCCAGGGCACCTGGCTGCCCTTGTCTGCTCACAGGACAGTTCTGCCCCCACCATGTGTCTGCAAAACCCTCACAAGTGACGCTCCTGGCTCCTTGTCTCTAAGACTCCACTCAACTGATGGCTTCACGTCTCAGCCCCCCTCAGACCCAACTTCCTGAACGAAAGTCCCTTCATTTAAGTTCTGGGACACCCAGAGGCCTTTGCTTCTACTTCTCCAACAGTACCTCTCCATCTCCCGACCTGCTACTCACTCTCTGAAATCAGGTCACAGAGCGGGCCATGGCCTCCTCCCCCTCAGGCCGCCTCGCTTCTAAGTCTGCCTCTCCCACCTCTGCAGCCTCAGTTTCCCTTTTCTGTCCCGAGACAGGACCCTCCTGCAGATCAGGGTCCTGCAGCCTCTTAGATGCCTCCTCCTGGAATCCTCTAGGCCTTTCACACCCCCCAGGTCCCCTACTGGCCTCCCGGTCTCCCCATTCCCCAGGTCCCCTCTCGGAGGCCCTCATCCTCAGGACTGTCTCTCCTGCCGCAGGGGTCGCTTGGGTTTGCATTCCACCCCACCTGAGGGTCTCGGTGCTGCTGGGCACTGGACACCTCCCTTCCTTCCGCTCCACGGCCTCCTGAATGTCTCCGGTCCACCTTCTCCTTCTCTGTCCCCAGCTCCATCCAGCCCCCCGCTCAGGCTCCCCCTCTGGTCCAGCCTCTATGTGGAAGCCTGGCGGCTCTTGCCAAATATCAAATCTAACCTGTCCCTTCTTTACCCAGACCCTCCATGACTCCCCAGTGTCCCACAGCACAGAGCACATCATTATCAGACACCTGAGAGAGCTTCCAAAAAGCGACAAAAACCACAGAACGCACAAATACAAGTTAGAAAAGGGAAACAAACAATAACAGCCAGCGCCATCTAGTGGAGAGATCCAGCACTGCCAAGGCATCCGCCTGCAGCTCATCAAAAATAGTGGGACCGGCCCTGGCCCAGCTGGCACACCTCCTCACCCTCCCAGCTCCATTCCCACCGTTACCTCCAGGAACACGCGAATTATCTCCGTGCCACTGCAACCCCAGCAGCCTGTCCCCGGCCGACATTTAGCTAGGCTCTTCCCTCTGGCTGGCACACCCTACCTCCTCCTTCCTCATCCCGAGAGTCAATTCAGACAGCAACTCCTCAAGTCCGAGTGCCCAGCAGCATCGAGACCCTCGAGCTGGGCGGAACGCAAACCCGAGCAGCCCCTGCAGCAGCCATGGCTCTCAAGTCGCATGCCGACTCCTAATCCTGCCCTGCAGTTCCTTAAATCCTTGCAACTGTTCCTGGGGAAGGTATCCTTGTTATCACCACCCTGGCTTACAGGTGAGGAAAAGAGGCACAGAGAGGTGCAGTCACCTACCCTGGGTCACTTAGCAAGTAAGCACAGCACCGCAACCTTTTAGCATCTGTGTCCGGGTTTGACACACCCTCCAGCCAGGCTCCCCTCCAAGACCCGGCCTGAGCTCCCTGGGGACGCACTGGAGCCCACTCTGCCCCGGTTCTCTCTGTACCCAGACCTGCCTCTGTCCATCTGCCCAGCATACCCTGTTTTCCTCACTGGTTCATTCACCCATCAGCCCCAACCCTGGTGACTCCCATTGGTCGGCTCCAGGTGTGGGGCTCTATTGTCCACCTGTTGGGCAAGGGAGCAGGGCCTGCTCCTGAGCCACTGGGAGCCTGGCTGCCTTCTGGGCCATAGCTGAATGGTGGGGGTCTGAGCGGCTAACTGTGCCGAGACCCGAGGAGGCCCGTAATCCACACTGATCATTTCAGAGGACACCCTCAGCGCTTCCTGCATTGAAATCTCCCGCCACCGTGAGGCATGCATGAGTGCCGTCTCCATTTTATAGATGAAGAAACTGAGGCCCAGAGTGTTAGGCAGATTGCTCAGGGCCTCACAGCTAGAAAGGACCACCACCTGGGACCCTGCTAGCCCAGTTCCAGGAGGAAGAGAAGGAATCGGCCCAGCTGGCGAGGGCAGGAAGGAAAGCTGCCCTCCTCGGCCCCTCCTGCGGGCTCCCACACATGGAAGAGGTGGAGAGGTATCCAGGTGGGGGGGCCCTGGCTAGCGCCTGCCAAGAGCCCTCAAGTGCCAGCCACTCAGCAGTGGCTTCTTCCCATCATCCCGAAGTGGCTTCTCTGCTCTCTCTCCCCTCTCCATCCATCCTGCCGAGTCCAAAGTCCTCCCTCTGCTCTTTTGCCCGCAATGCCAAGAGGTAGGAGGAATGTCCGTCTGGAACTGGTGAGGTTCTCGAATCCCTGGGGTTCCGGGTCCGCTGACCTCTGTCATGACAGCTCTGGTTCACGGTGTGCATCTGACGTGCTAACACCCCCGCCGTCGTCCCTGCTCCCCACCATCTCACACAGGGAGGGGGCATTAGGACCCATGTCTGACCTGGGGGGGTGCGGGGACTGAAGCCCAGAAAAACGACGTCCCTCGCACAAGCTCACACAACAGAAAAAGTGGCAGAAGCAGATTCAAACGCAGGCCAATAAGGTGCAACTCCAGAGTCTGCGTCCTTAACCGTGACCGCCAGCCTCCCCACTGTCACCCCAAGTGGACGACAGGTCCAGGATCAGCTGAGGAATTGCTGGGCGGTGAGGGGAAACTGAGGCAAGGAGCCAGGAAGGTCATGTGGGGTAGCAGGTGGTGGCACGGCCTCACAGAAAATTTGGTTAATAGTTAATCAGGTGGAGAAGACTTCAGAGGGGGCTCCGAGGGGGCGGAGGGCTGGGGAGAGAACACAGAGGGAGGGGCGTCAGGCAGAGCCCAAGTGTGGGCTCAGGGGAAGGGGGACTCACCCTCCTTCTCCGCCATGTCACAGCCTCTTGTTAATGATTCCCGGGCTGACCTCCTGGGCCGAGGCAGGACCTGTGAGATGAACCGGGAGGCAGGACCTGGGGGAGCCCAGCCCAGCTCCAGTGCCCTCAGTCCCAGGCGCTCATCCAGGGAGGCTGAAGGACCTGGGCCCTGGCCAGAGCACGCCATGATCACGGACGCAGATTAGGCTGGGTTCAAGGATGGGGTCAGTGTCCAACCAGGGGCCAGGGGGACGCCTTGATTTGCAGGGCTGGGGGCTCCCGTGTCTAAGCCTCCGGGGGAGAGGGCTGAGGAGCTGAACTCCTAGGTGGAGCGGGGCCTGAAATCCTGGGTCCTGGGGAGAGGCCTTGGCGGCCAGGACTCCAACAGCAGGAGGTTGGAGGGGTGGCCCCCCGACTCCTAGGTCCGAGGGAGGAAGAGACCAGGCCTAATCTCTGAATCTGAAGAAGAGGGGGCTGATCCAAGGTCCTCGAAGGGAAGTCAGAGAGCCCACCCTTCAGGTCCCTAGGAGTCCCTCTACTGGGAGGTGAGCGTGAGGTTGGGTGGGAGTGAGGGGACCCCTGGCCTGGGGACTGGAACTGAGGGCACTGGTCCTTACCCTGGGGTCTGGCAGGCGGGGCGAAGCGGAGAGAGGGTGCCAGTTGCGGGTCAGTCTCCAGGCCTGGGCAGCAGCATGGTGGCCCGCAGCAGCGGTGGCCAGGAGGCAGAGGCGGCGGCGGGCGTGGGGCCTGCTAGGCCTGGCTGCCTCACCTGAGGAGGAGGGGGCTGGGCAGGAGGCGGGGAAAGGGGTGGGGAAGGGCGGGCAAAGGGATTGGCAGCGCCAGAGGCCACCTGGCTGGTGGGGCAGGGTTTGCAGGGGCTGGACCAGGCGAGCCCAGCCACCTGCCTCCCTCAGCCTGAGGGGTGGGCCCAGGTGTGCCAGTCTGAGGGGAGGTGGGAGTAGAGACCGGTTTGGTCTGGGATGCTGGTGTGGGGAGACAGAGCAAGCCGGGGTGCTTATGCAGCCTCGAGGATACGCGTATGAATCAGGGGGCGGCAGACGGAGTGCCCCCACTGCCCTGCTCCTTCTCCTTCTCCTGCCCAGCCCCTGCCCTACCCCGCTCAGGCCTAGCTCCGTCCCTGTGCACCCCTGCCCCTTCCAGCACCCCTGTCCAGCTCCTGAACACGGTAGTCCCTGTCTCTGCCCCAGTTCCAGGCCCTGCCCCAGACCCGCCCCCAGGCTCCTCCCCTGCCCCAACGCCTGCTCCAGCCTCTGCCCCTTCCCAAGTCCCCAGCGCAGCCCGGTCTGCTGCACCCGCTCCCCCTCCCCTTCCCAGCCCCCCCCCCCCAGCTGCTTTCCTACAAGTCACGGGGGCTGGTTTGCTTTGGCAGCCGCTCTGCCGCCTGCAGCAATGACCTCTGGAGCCTGAGTCCCAGATAGGGGGGAAGGGGGCTTGGCCCGGAAAGGGCTGCACTGAGCACCAGCCCAAGCCAAGTGGCCGGAAGTGTCCAGAGGCAGATACACACTGTCCCGCCAGCGGTCAAGAGTGATCCACGTCACACCCCAGGTCCAGATAAACACCCAGACACATAGGGACACCGTCAGACACCTGGCTGTGGACAGCCACATAAACACAGACCACAGCTGCTCACCCCAGCTGGGCCGTCCGGGCACAGGCAGAGCGGCCCGGTGCTGCCCGGCCCCTGATCTCATCCTCTCCTTTCATGTTCCTCTCTCTCCAACCCCCACTCCACAGAGACCCACGTGGTGGAGGAATGAGTGAAGACACAACATGGAGTCACTATAGTCAGGCTGCTAAATCTCTAAAAAGACATAGGTTGAGGTAGGGGGAAACAATTCTATTCTTGCTTTAAGTACACTTGGAACTTGGACTTTTGAATTACCAGCTGTGCATCAATACCTGGAAATATAGATAAATCCTACAGATTGCCCTCGGAAGACCTGAGGACAGAATGTTCGTGTATCCCTGACCGGTTTGGCTCAGCGGTTGGAGCGTCAGCCTGTGGTCCAGAGAGACCCGGGTTCGGTTCCCACTAAGGGCACGTACCTCGGTTGCAGTTTGTCCCCGGCCCTGGTTGGGTCGTGTGGGTGGCAGCCACTCGATGTGTCCTTCACATCGATGTTTCTCTCTCTCTCTCCCACTCTATCTGAACAACAATAAAAAAAGTGTTGGTGTATCTAGACCCCTGACACCTACTGTCCAGACCCCTGACATCCACTGTCCAGACCCCTGACATCCACTGTCCAGACCCCTGACATCTGATCACTTTCAGACAATTCAGAAGCCAAGAATGTAGAACTGATTTTTTTTTTTTCCCCTCGAGAATGTGTTTTACTATAAGAATTCTCAATTCTTCTCTCTTCCTGGGAACACTCTGGGTGTTACATAGTAGTATTTCTTGTTGGCAAACCCCAAGAACCTTGAATAAAACATTGCCATTTTTTAATTTTAACAAAGCCTCCTGATTCACGTCTGCTCGGCGGTTTGGTTGCTGCCGCTGGCCTGGAACACGAGGAGCCCACCCACGGCGCCCTGCCTCCTCTGTCCACAGCAACACGCTCCCAGCACGCGCTGCCTGCGGCTCCCTCCTACTCACCGTCCCCACTGAGCTAATAACACCCGCAATCCCACATTAATCAAGTGCTCAGTGGCTGCACCTGCTGGCCTTCAAGCAGGCGCTGAGCCTGGGACACCCACCCACCTGTTCCTTCCCCTCCTCATCCCTGAGTGTGTGGGAGGAGGCCCCACTACTGCCTGGGAAGGCAGGTCCCCAGGAACACCAAGGCTCGTGGATGTGGGGTTGGAGTGCACAGGGCAACCGGGTTCACGAGAGAGACTATGAGTCAAGTCCAAGAATCTTTATTTCATGAACAAAACTACTTGTGTAAAGAGAGGCTGTCTGCACCACTTTCTAAGTGGCCACAGTTCAAGGCTGGTGAGAGAGGGTGGAGTTGGACTGGGCAAGAGTGCATCACAGGAGGGGGTACCCCAGGTCCAGCCAGAGGAAGCAAGGGGGGGCATGTCAGTGAGGGTGGAAGTGGGTTCCAGAACCCCCTGCCCAAAACTGTCCTGGCCGGTCACGACCCTGCTGGGCAGGGAGGGGCTGGGCCCCATAGTGCATGTCTGAGCGGCCAATGTGTGCAAATCAGCAAGAAGGAGGGGTGCGGAGCCGCTGCCCCCACCTCACCGCCCCCCACCAAACAGGCAGCAGAAGCAGGGGTGGGGGCAGAGGCAGTATTGCTTAGCCATCATGCATGGCGAGGGCGAGTGGGCAGGAGGAAGAGGCTGGATTAAGGGTGTGAGCCACCTGCCCCCTCCCCCCTGGCAGCTCCGCTGGCAGGACTCTGAGGCTGTGGAGGCCCAGGAATGGCCAACCCCCATTGGGGGCAGGCTGTGCCCGGATGTTCCCCACGAGGGCTGGCTCTTCCTTGAGGCGGAGCCCAGGGCCTAAAGGTGAGGGAGAAACAGGATCAGGACCTAGGGAACTGCCACCCTCGCATGCCCACCGGCCCCTTCCCACACCCACCTCCTTACCAGGGCTATTCGGCCACCTGGACGCCCGTACAGTTCTCTTTACTTTCTGAGGTGATGGCCAGGTATTCCGAGCTGTGGGGGCAAAGGCCGGGTGGACAGTGACCCCCTCGTCAGTTTGGCACGCCACCAGGAGACTGAGGAGGGCTGTGGTCTCTGCCCCAGGAGCCCAGGGCTCCGGGGTTAGAGAAAGGAGGGGCTACGGGCTGTCCTCCTGGTGACCCACAGACATCCAGGCTGGGGGCCTGGGGTCGCGAGCCAGGCAGGAAGGGACTGGGGGCTCAGACTCCTGGGTCCTGGGGAGAAAAGACTGGGACCTGGACTCCTGTATCTTTGAGGGACAGAATATTGGGCCTGAACCCCAGGTCCTAAGAGAAGTGGGGCTGAGAGTCTGAGGGAGGAGGGGGCTGGGACCTTACCCCATCTCTGATAACAAAGCCCCTCTCTGGGACAGCTGGCAGACGGTCCCTGGGTTGCTCTCCTGCCTCTCTACCCCCCCAGCTCATGCTCCCCTCTGGGAAGTCCTGGGTTGCACCCCCCCAACTCAGCTCACGCTCCCCTCTGGGAAGTCCTGGGTTGCACCCCCCCAACTCAGCTCATGCTCCCCTCTGGGAAGTCCTGGGTTGCACCCCCCCCTCAGCTCACGCTCCCCTCTGGGAAGTCCTGGGTTGCACCCCCCCAACTCAGCTCATGCTCCCCTCTGGGAAGTCCTGGGTTGCACCCCCCCCTCAGCTCACGCTCCCCTCTGGGAAGTCCTGGGTTGCACCCCCCCAACTCAGCTCATGCTCCCCTCTGGGAAGTCCTGGGTTGCACCCCCCAACTCAGCTCATGCTCCCCTCTGGGAAGTCCTGGGTTGCACCCCCCCTCAGCTCACGCTCCCCTCTGGGAAGTCCTGGGTTGCACCCCCCCAACTCAGCTCATGCTCCCCTCTGGGAAGTCCTGGGTTGCACGCCCCCAACTCAGCTCATGCTCCCCTCTGGGAAGTCCTGGGTTGCTGCACCCCCCCAACTCAGTTCACGCTCCCCTCTGGGAAGTCCTGGGTTGCACCCCCCCAACTCAGCTCACGCTCCCCTCTGGGAAGTCCTGGGTTGCACCCCCCCAACTCAGCTCACGCTCCCCTCTGGGAAGTCCTGGGTTGCTGCACCCCCCCAACTCAGCTCATGCTCCCCTCTGGGAAGTCCTGGGTTGCACGCCCCCAACTCAGCTCATGCTCCCCTCTGGGAAGTCCTGGGTTGCACCCCCCCAACTCAGCTCACGCTCCCCTCTGGGAAGTCCTGGGTTGCACGCCCCCAACTCAGCTCACGCTCCCCTCTGGGAAGTCCTGGGTTGCTGCACCCCCCCAACTCAGCTCACGCTCCCCTCTGGGAAGTCCTGGGTTGCACGCCCCCAACTCAGCTCACGCTCCCCTCTGGGAAGTCCTGGGTTGCACGCCCCCCCCAACACCACTTACGCATTTTCTTGCGCAGCAGCCTCGGTGGCAGCGGCGATCTTCTTGTAACAGTAAACCATCTCTGCCACGAGCCATATGGTCAACACCACGATGAGCACATACATCATGATCTCGGACACAATGGACGCCATGTCTCTGTTGGCTGCAGGGGCCAGGCAGGGTTAGGCGGCAGCTGAGGCCAGGCTCCAGAAGCATGGCAGCCCGTGTTCCTCGAGCTTGTCAAGCCAGCGAGGGCAAGTGCCTCGACCTCCCTGGGCCTGTGCCACCTCCCTACGGTCAGTCGTCATCGTCACCGTGATTCTTAACCGTCAGCTGTGGTTGGGCTTCCGGACCTCACCCCGCCTCCCTGTGTAACTCGGCGCAACAGTCAGGTGGGCTGTAGGTGCCCAAGAGCTATAGCTCTGCAATCAGAAGGCTCAGGTTCAAATCCCGGCTCTGCCACTGGCCAGCTGTGTGCCTTTGGGCAGGTGACGCAACCTCTCTGGGTCTGTTTCCCCATCTGTAAAAAGTTGATCATCATCATATCTCCTTCGTGAGTGTTGCGAGAATTTAAAATGCTTTAAAAATCCTTAGAATGGTGCTTAACATATAGATGTCACTCAATACATGTTGCTATTATTAATATCAGTATTACTGTTATTATTGGGGCAGTAAAGCATAGTAGTTAAGAGCAGGGAATCTGGGGCCAGACTGCCACGGTTCAAATCCTGACCCTGCCTCTTAGTAGCTGTGTGACCTTAGGCAAGTGACTCTCCCCCTCTGGGCCTT